TGGCCGCTTCCGCACCTCGAGTATGCTTCCGTCGGCTTTGCTTCCTCCGACGCTCCGACGCATTACGCTTAACAAGACTGCGTTCTCGCCCACGGCGTGGGACGCGTTCGCAGCGCATGTGGCCGGCCCGTGCCTCCTCGACGAGATCATTTTCCATGACTGCACCGTCTGCCTCGTCGGTGTCGAGTACCAAGTCGAAAAGTGGCTCGCGCGATGGATCGAGCGTGGCGTCCGCAAGCTCTCCATCTACGACACGACAGAGCACGCAGCGTCGGCGCTCTTGCGAGCCCTTCCGAGTTGCTCGAGTTCCGTTGGCGTCGTCCTCGATATCGACAGCGACCTGTCGATGCCTACGTATCTGCTCTTTGGCCAAGCCCTCGCGTCGAGCCGCGGCGTCACGATCAAGCTCCCGCCGTTCATGAACCGCGCGGGCGACGAACGCGTCGTGGCCGAGATCCAAGACATGGCCGCCAAGCACCAGATTGCGTGCCGCCATCAGATCATCCGAGGCCGCGTGCACCGTCTCGTGCTCGAGGGCCCTGCGTGCGCCGCGTAGGCAGTAGTTGTTTTGTGTGTTTTGTCTTAATTTTATGCAATTGCCGTCGTCGTCTTGTGTGTGAATGACACTCTACCTGCCTGGCGGATGCGGAAGGATCGATGCAATTCGGTAGGATTGGTTTATAATCCTCAAACGCTTTTGTGTGCTTGATCGCTTTGTGGTTGTGTACAGATGCGTCTGAGGGATACTACAGCAGCAGGTTCAAGGGCAAGCACAACCGACTTCCCCTATCCCTACATGGATAACCGCAGCTTTTGGTTGCTCAACCCAGTGCATGCGACGTCACCGACGGCCGCACGCGTCAAGACGTACGTGCGATTGTTTGATCAAAGGTCTAGGGGCGGTCTCGCTGTGTCATATCTTCTCGGGATGGACCTATCTTCTTGGTATGGACCTGTCGTTGTGCCAGGGATAGGGTTACACACAAGCGTCTCTCCTCAAAGCTCGACTACACGACTTTGGTACGACTGAAAGAAAAGCGATATAGGAGTCATCGATCCATGTGCACAAGCCTACTATGCGGCACGGCTCGCAACGGAATGGAGATAACGAGCGATCTCCAATACCAAGCGTTGGGTTCGAGTTGAAAGAGAAAAAAATCTTTTGAGTTTGATGGACCGATGGACTGACTATTCGATCGTCAGTTTGCATTTCCCAGTGCCAGCGAACGATCCATGAGCTGCAGCAGGCGCGTGCCGACGGTCTCGTGTATGGTCTGCAACTTGGACCACGTCCTTCGGGCCATCGTCCAGTATACGGCATCGTCCCGCGACGTGCTCGCTTTTCTGGCCGTGATCCCTCCATCGGCGCGTAAGTACATCGCTGACAGCACTCCACGGGCTCCTCCAGGATGCCTTCTGGGTCATGCAGGATCCCATCGAGTCCAAGCACGAGGCCATGGACAAGCTGTGGCCTCTTGTCTGGCTCGATGCCATCGCGCCAACAGCGGTCGTTTTTGTATGTGGCACGATACCAGTCTTTCTCGCGGCCCGCGCCGGCGACCTCCCCATCGCGCGGCCATTAGAGCTCGACGCCATTTGTGTGGCTGCAACTCTGCAGCAGCAAGATCACCGAGTATGTCCTCCATGGCTATCTCGACATCCGCCCGCGCGTCGCCAAGCTTGAGAGCATCGACGTACATACGTCATGCTGTCGACGTGGCCGCGGTCGTGGAGGTCGTGACGACCATATATCAAATTCGCTCGCTCACGGTCGACGGCTCTGCCGGTGGCGTCACGCTGCGAGAACCTTCGTGGCCGCATTTACCGCGTCGTACTCAAGAGCCCAGGGCATAGCGTCTATGAAACGACACGATTGCTTGTGTATGTCTGGAGTTTCCCGTCTGTGCTTGTATCTTGGGTAGTCGCAGATGACCGAGTGGGACACGACGTCGAATGATGATAATATGAATGTGGGAAGGTGCGGGGACTGCACACTGACGGATGTGCGGTTCTCGAGGATGAGTGGTTGACCATCGAGGTCAACTACTAGAAGCCTCACTTTTAAGAAGTGCACTAGTACCGGCCTGCAGTTTGCTGTGCCTTTCCGAGTGTCTTCCAGAGCTGCGAGGACAGTAGATTCTCTTAGCGTCTAACCAACTGTGTATCGAAAGGAATAGTCTCTTGTGTGTATCCTGCCGCTTGCATGTAACATTGTCGCGCTTTGTATAGGTGGATGGAGGACGGCGCAGAATAACTATTGGGCAATGCAACATACACCGCGTGTGGTACTCCTTGCAGACGCCGCCACGACGTCTTACGGTTCCAGATGGTCACGACACGTTGACCGTCGACGGTTACGTGAAACATGTGTTATGTTGTGCGAACCCTACATTTCTTGACGGCTAGTACCATTGGAATAGCTGATTTGAATCTCTGAAAAGCACGATCTTTTGTGGACGACTAGAATTCGAGATGCTTTCATGCGCTCGTTTGGTCATATATTCCAGCACCTAGCTGCAGCTGCAGTCCCGCCGGTTTGCAACCAGAACTACAACTCCCCGCTAGTATACAGTTGATGGCGTTGGACCTGGATTGTCTATTCTACCCCAAACTCTTTCTGGACGAGAGCAAAAACTGAATTCACGCATCCACTGAAAAACAAGCAAATTGATTTTTGAGAAAAGTTGGGCCCGCAACTAAACGCTTACGCGACGCTCGCCAGCACGAGACGTCGTCGGCCGTCAACCGTCAAGTGGTCGAACGCAAGGTTGTCGATAGCTCCGAGCTCGTCGCGCCAGTTGTTGCCCAGCACTGGCGGCAGCTCGATCGAGACGCCACGGCACGAGGCAAGTGCTTGACCGAGGAGGATGTAGGTTGTATTCTTGATGCGCTGGATCTTGTCCTCAATGCGAATGCGGACACAAACGCGGCTCGTCGTACGAGCAATGGCCGCCTCAGAGCACTTAACTGATCTTCTTGAAAAGCACAGTCGACGAACGAGATGTTGCGGATACCACGTGTGATCCACTCGCGCAACGCCGGCGCCATCACCGTGACCTGGGACGCAGACAAGGCGCACGAGGTCCATGCAATCTCGTCGAGGACGCACGTGCCGAGCAAGTTC